ATTAAGCCTTTCTTTTCTTCTTTTTAATTCTTATTGTTGTCAAAAAATTGCAATTTCTTGCTAATAGCATTATTTTACTAATTTACTAATAACATTACTAAGGTAAAAGACCTAGTTTTTGACACTTGCAATTTTATTTTAATTAAAAAAAATAAATCAACTCTGATAATTTAATAAACATTATATTTGAATTATAAATTTTAAGATAATTGGTTTTTTGAGAACATTTTATTTTTTTAATTAGAATAAAATTGCAAGTGTCAAACAACTAGGCCAGTGAAAATAACTGGGTCTTCTACCTTATTATAAAAATTGATTATAAGGAAAGAATGTATTGCTAAAATGAGTTATAAATTTGTTGGAGATGATAAATTCCACTCTGACAACTTCTTTTGCATCCAAGAATCCATATAAGTAAGGGAGTAAGGGGAAGTAATATTAATGATTAATATTTTTATTTATAATTTATAAATTATTTAATTTACACAAATAAATATTTAGGTAACTACCAGAGTCGAAAAGTTTCAGCATTGAACTGAATAAGCTGCTAGTCAACGTTTGAAAAAAATAAAAAGCGGCTATTTAAAATACATTATAAAATGAGCCTGAACTCAGACTGAAAAGTGGTTTTATTTCACTTTTCAGGACTAGCAGGCTGAATTTCAGTTTGAATGTGGACCTATTAATTCAGGCTCTTCAGCTTGACAATAGCTTGAAGTCAGGCTATTCAGGTTAAATTACTGCTCAATAAAAGAAGCGTGATCAGCTTCCCATGTAGGAAAGTATGGCGGGCCCAGGCTTGGCCTAGGCCTGGCCCAACTTTGTATAACTCTAGACCAGGCTTGTAAACCAGAGTTGGCCCAGTCTTGGTTTAAGTCTGGAATGATAACGCTGACCCATTCCATTTGATAGAAAATGATAAAAAAAAAAAATTTTTGAAGTATTGTTTTTTTATTTTAATTTTGATGTAGAGCTAACGCAAGTTTAGATCGTTTGACTCTTTATTTAGACCTAACTTTTACTAATTATAGAAATAAAGTGAATAATAGAATTTGCCCTAACCGAGATTCGAACCCTAGCCGCGCGTTTGCCAGACCGATAACTAACCCCTACGCCGTACGACCGATATATCTCATATTCATATAAAGGAAATATACTTGGTGACGAAGTATGACTGAATAGCCGCAGCTTGATCAGCTTGAATTCAGTTTCATTTTAAAGCTTAGCAGGCTGTTCAGTATCAAGTAAGGCTTAAAATTTTCCTATATACCAGGTTGTTCAGTTTGAAAAAATGGTGAAAGTTGAAACTTCTTTCAAACTGAATAGCTTACAGCTTTATCAGTTTGAATTCAGTTTCATTTTTATACCTTAGCAGGCTGTTCAGCTTGAATTCAGTTTCAGTACAATACCTTGGAAGGCTGTTCAGTCTAAATATAGTCTGAAATGTTTACGTCATTTTAAAGCTGCAGTATGATTAGGTTGAAACCAGTTTCAATTTAATACTGCTAGCAGGCTGAGCAGTTTGAAATTATTAACTTTAGCAGGCTGAACAGTTTGATGTAAGGCTCTGTTCAGTGCAGTAAGTTTGATAAAAGGTCCAATTCAGTGCAGTCAGCTTAAATTAAGGTTTAATTCCGCTTTAGCAGTTCGAAATAATGCTGAAACTTTTTGACTCGGGGCGTTTTCCTAGTTTTTTTTTAAACATTTGTACGAGGATTATGGATTAAAAATACAATTTCTCTTAACGAGATATGAAACTTGATTTTTAGGCTCCAGTAGAGCTATGCCTTCGCGCGATCGTGCTTGAGGCATGCAATATTTCAACTGAAACTACTACAAAATTTATCGGAGTCTCCAGTAAAAATTAATTTAAGTTATGGCGCTGTAATCGCTCTCGACTTCTCAGCTGTATAAAAAATTACACATGTCAATAATCCGTTGTTATTGAATTACAGTTAATTTTATTAAAGTTTCATACAATTGTCATTCTAATAAAATTTTGTACAATAAGTTAAATGTTATTTGTAATAATGCACCTTAATGACATTTGTTATTTTTTATTAATATTATTTATTATTAATGTTAGTTATTCTGTATTCATTATAAGCTAAAATAACACTAAAAAATTAAAAAAATCAAAAAATTTAATTTTCTTAAATTAAAATCTATTTTTTTTCAAAATAAATGATAAAGCAGCCAAATTTGGTAACCAAATGTTAGATTATTGTAATGGATTTTTTACTGTTTGAATGTAATTATAAAATTTGGATTGTCTTTAACACTAAATAACAAAAAATGCAACAAAATATATAAGTTATTGACCTGGCGAAGAAATTTCTCAAGATTCAATGTATGTAATAATATTGTATGGGAAATATATATAAGTACAAGCGAGAAAAAGCCGGCGTTAAGTATTATATTATTGAGATTATTATTATCCACATATATATACAGGCGTTAAGTAAGGGCAATCTCATCGTTCCTCACGGCGTGGCAAGTATAGGTAAAATTCATCTTAATAGTCGTTATTATTCTGACGCCCGTGGACGAACGTTTGACCTGATGTTTTATATTATACATACTACATCCCGGGCATTTTACATACTCGCTTTACACTTTACGTGTGCATTAAAAATATTATATATTTATTTAAACAATCTATGAAATATTTTTATTTTAAACGTGTGAAAAGTTACCAAATGTCAAACGTAATTTGCGAAAAAATTATTTTTCTTTGAATCAGTATTTCTAGTATTTCTTCACCATTAAAATTCAATAATACATCTATTTTACCATTGTTATGTTTTCATAAGTACATGATACGATTCTATGGCTGTTGTTAAATAAAGTTTGGATAAATTTTATTATTATACTTATGTAATTATAACTTAATTTTTTATATTGCAAAGTTTTTGGATTCGTTTCTTATTTATCATATTTTTTTTTTTGGTGTCACTGACATTAATATCACTTTTTTCCATTTAGCTACATAGACCAGTCATAGAAAAATCTTTGTATTACACTCAAATAAACGTTTTTTTTTATTATTATAGCCTATATATTTAATTACAATTAAAATTGCCTTAATAAAAGCACAGTCGCTAATATAAGACTCTAAACTATTTTAAATTAAAATATAAATCAAATTTTTTTCTTGCTGTTTAAAAAATCTTTAATGATAGTTTTTAAATTATTTTCTCTCCAGAAAATAATTAAAAAATTTTGAAAACAGTAATAAATTTTGCGTTATTGCATTAAAAAATTTTGTTTTAAATATTTAACACTTTTATTTGTAAATTTAACAATTTTTGTGTTAATTCTCTTGAATTAGATTTAACAAATTTTTTTTCTTCTTATTTTTACACAAAATCTTGTCAACGAAGTATGAATTAGAATTGTTTTAGTCAACTAATCAATCAACCACTTTAATAGGCTATTCATTATTATGTGCATTATCGCGTATATGCCTGTTAAATAAAAAATTTGTCATTATTATTCAATGAAATTTTACAAAATGATTAATCTGTTCAAACTTAAAAAAAAAGTATCAATATTAACTCACTTGAAAACCTTGACCACAAAATTGTAGATGACAGTGACAATAGTGGGGTTAACTCCTGGAATTAGGTGTCTTATTAACGAAACCAGAAACGGTAATTCTTCCGTCGACGTCAATTCTTGAATCAGGTTCGGATTTTCAGGATTCTCATCAGATTCGCGTTTAACCCTTTGTTCAATATTGTCATTTTTGTGAATGTCGTTTGAAGAAGTTTGTGGTTGCGGATGCGCATTGCAGTAAATGATAAGTACAATCAAAATTATAAATAAAAATACGGTCTTTGATTCTTGAATTTTAAACATTTTAACACACGATTTCTTGAATAGATAAATGTACAAAAAAAGATGTTAATTGCTTATGGAAATCTTTGACTTTGACTCTGGCACTAGAAAATTCGTGTTGCAAAGAATAAGTTCGTGTTGCATAGAACAAACGGAGTTTAAATCAATTGCATGACATACCGTAAGTTTAATAGGAAACTGATAACAAAAACGTCAATAATTTCCTTAGTTGTCATTAAAATAATAATACTGATAATTACTGAATTTAACAATCAACTTATGTTATTAAAATAAAGGAAAAATTTTATCAGTTACTTATTACGATTTAATATTAATAATTGAGGAAAAATGAAAATAGCTAAATTTATATTTAGCGAAAAAAAAGAATATGATTGATTATGCTAATGTTTTATTTATTACATTTCAATGCTTTGTTATCGAAGGAAATGATACGGGTTTTCCGTGTAAAAGGCATGCTCGACGTTCTCACGCAATTTTTATCAGCTAACATTGATATAGTAAAGAAAAAAAAGCTTATATGATACGAAATTTCAGCATGTACAAGATACTTAAGAATATTAGTTTTCAAAATATTAAAATGATACAGTTAATGCTCAGGATAAATCGTTTTTAGACATGCAAAAACCCTAGTCAGCAATCCCGCAGAAATTATCAGCAACTGGTATATGACCCTCTCTGCATGCACACCGATAATCAACGCAAATAGATTTCGTTGCCATGCATTGATCATCTTTCCAACAAAGTCCTCCTAAAGTAGGAAGACAAGTTGCGTGACTGATAGCAGTGTTATTTGTTTGACAAACGCAATTTCCGTGAGGTGAGCAGGTGAAATGCCACGAGTCACTGCATTCTGACGGCTCGCGGCAAGAGTAAACATTAATTGCTGCAAGAATGATGTTATAAGTATAGATTTAATCATTTTTTATCTAACTGTATTAACACTCACTCTCAATACAAAGATTTGTAGACATTTCTGTGAAATTCGGTTTGCATTGACACTTATTGGCAACACATTCCATGGTCTGGGAATCACAATCGAGATCACGTTTGCAATATCCACCAAGAATAGGCGCACACACTGAAAAAAAAGTTTTTTTCCTCCTAGAAAACTTTTTCCTGTGGTTAAAAAAAAAGTATTCCTAAAATAAGAATACCAAAGTTTACTATCCATAGGAATAAGTTTACTGGATATAAAAAAACTTGGTATTCTCATTATTAAAATACTACAATCAATATGGCCGACTTAACCTCGCTTGGTCGACACGAATCTTTAGGATAGATAATTATGAGAAACTATACTATTTATAATTCTTCATTTATAAACAATCTATCACACTAAAATTAATAAAAATGAAAAATAGTATATTAAGCCTTTCTTTTCTTATTTTTAATTCTCATTGTTGTCAAAAAATTGCAATTTCTTGCTAATAGCATTATTTTACTAATTTACTAATAACAATAACAATAAATTTTTATATTTGATCAAGATTTTTAGATACTTTAGGGAAGCATCGCCATCTACTTCAGCTGAGAAAAAAATTTTCTCACCTTGAGAAAATTTTTCTGTTGAATATTTGATATTCATTTTATATTATTTTAGCGTGCAATTATACATATTAAATGAAGAAAAATAATTCAATGTTATTTGATCTTCCCATTTGACATGTTAATCAATAAAAATATTAATGAAAATTTACTTCTATCTTTATATTTAATTTTTTGGAGCAAGAGAGAAATTTTTTCAAGACAAGAAAATTTACTTCTATCAAGAACTAAATTTTTTG